ACAAGCCTCCTGTTCGCTTCAGCTGCCTGGCTGCTGGCCGCCATCTTGGTTGGCAGTTAATTTGCATATCACCCTGATTAGCCAATGGGAAGCATGTTGGAGGTACGGTTAATTACCATGTTCATCTATTATTAGATAGGATTCTTCTTTAGTTTATTTAAAGTATGTATTAACAACAAAAAAAAATGGACACATATGTAATATCCTTTGTAATAAATAATAAAATTTAAAAAAAAAATAAAGTATGTATTAACAAACTCACATAAAAAAACACATTATATCACTAAAGATTAATTTGGTTACATTTCACACAGTCATTTCTATTTTTAGTCTCCTTACTATTTACAAAATATCAACAAAATTGTTTTACTAAAAATTACTCATACTGATGGATTAAGACATCAGACACTAAACTAAAAACATGACATAGCTATTTAATTTTGGAAATAGAGAAATATCAGTCCCACAACTTAGAAATTTATGATTCTATGCAAAACACTAATTATACGTAACAGGGAATATCAAATAGGTAATTTACAATTTTCCAGCTGCCAACCTGTTTCATGCAAATATTGACTCGAATGCTAACTCCGAAGTAATTGGCTGTCAAATCAATCAGTGAAATGAGGTTAAGCCTGGCCTCTGTGGGTGCAGTATGCACTTCCCACCGGACACCCCTCGCCTGGAAAGCCAACCACAGCCAGCTCTTTCGGAGTCAGAATTTACTCCCTGTCTCCTCCCTTCGCACTGTCCCCCTGGGAGCTCAGTAACTAAGAGCACTCACCAGTCTGCCTGTTTCCCATTCCCGTCCAAAGTCCTCTGTGTGTCCATCCTCTGGTTCCACTGGTCCTCCTGTCGCAATCCCGATGAATTAAATTTCCATTAACTGGGGGGTAAAATGTTTACCCCACCCTATACTGAGATTCATCCCCTATGAAGACTTTCCTTCATTTCTCCTGACTTGAGTCATTTTTTCCTCCCAATCTCTTAGCCCTTTATTTACATAGCCAACTTTGCGTATGCTGACTTGCATTATAATTATTCATACTGTTGTCTTATATTTTCCTCTAGATGAGCAACTACTTCAGGATAGGAGTTTTAAGCTTTGTATTTTTAGAGAGTTTCAAGCATACATTTTCTGCATAGTAGGCATTCAGTTATAAAATGGTAAGTTTAATCAAATTTTGCATCTTAAATGTCAAGACTTAAAAGGTGACCAGATAAAACTGCTTGTTTTACTTCTTAATTCAGCCTGTCACCATCACATTAAGGAACTCGTCCGATAACACGCTTTTTACTTAAAAAATTCAGTGTTAAAGAAAAGTTTGGATAAGTAAGTCTATTCATCTTGTTTTTCTTTTGTGTATATTTTTTCAAGTCTTGTACTGGTATGTGCTTGTATGTACGTGAATGTTGGTGTGTGAAGTATTGTGTGCCGTTCATTGTGACTTGGGCTCTTTTCAGCTAATATTAAACATGTTTTTCGTAGTTCTCGGTGTCTTCCTAACTGCTGTTTAGCAAGTGCGCACCCCCATGCACAGACCCGCCCTAACTCACAGGCCGGCTCGGCTCTCGTTTGCATGACCTCATGCCGTTTCTGTCACTCTGCTTCCTCAGTAATGTTGGAATAAAGGTTTCGTGGCCCTTTTGCTTGTGTTAATTAGCTCCTTGCTTCCAAGCACAGCTGTGGTAGGTGTAAGGGCCGAGTGTGTGTACAGCCCTGTTCTTTCCCGGAGGAGTGAGGGCCAACCCTGCACAGCCCCCTCGCTGGGCCCAGCGAGCACTGGAGTGTGGCGCCCATGTGTTTGCGTCCACCCCACTCCCCACTCTCTGAGAGGACGGTAAATCACTCTCAGTACTGGGCCTCGGTAATTTACAAAATGAATTCTCAGCCCCCGGGGAAATTAAAGAAGGGCCTTACAGTCTTGGAGATTGGTTGTGGTTAAAAAGCCTAGATCCAGCCTTTCCCCTTCTCCAGATGCATGGGGAGGGGACCTACTCTTAGCAGTCAGAGATCTGGCTCATTTAGGAAGTAGAGGCCGTTCTGTAGTGTAAGAGAGAAAACCCTCACGAATGTAGAGATAAAGTTACCTTCCTGGAGTTTAAGTATCAGGATAAAATCAAGACAGGAAAGGAGATCACCTAGGAAGGATAAATGTCTGCCCAATCGAAAGCGTAAGGGACAGGCTCAAAAATACTGTCCAGGCTTGGTAACGCATTGAAGGAAGCATTTAACTCAAATTAGTTACACAATGAAATAAAGGAGAAGCAAAGAAATGTCCACATTGAATACTAGGTCCCGTAGGGACAGGGTTCCGCTCTTCAGGACTAGGCCCCGTAGGGACAGGGTTCCGCTCTTCAGGACTAGGCCCCGTAGGGACAGGGTTCCGCTCTTCAGGACTAGGTCCCGTAGGGACAGGTTCCGCTCTACTAGGTCCCGTAGGGACAGGGTTCCGCTCTTCAGGACTAGGCCCCGTAGGGACAGGGTTCCGCTCTTCAGGACTAGGCCCCGCCCCTCTGGAGTGGGCGTGGCTCCCCAGGGCTAGGCCCCGCCCCTCTGGAATGGGCTTGGCTCTTCAGGGCTAAGCTCTGCTCATCGGGACTTCCAGACTGGTCTAAGTTCAGCTCTTAGGGTGTAAAAAAAAAAAAAAAGAAAACTAAGAGTTTGTTTACAACATTTTCCAAATAAAACAGCAAAAACAAACCAAAACACCCTGCCAGTCTTGATACTCCCATTTTTTAGGATGGTTATCAATTAATTAGATTATCAGCGTGTGATGACCCGAAGCACCATTTTAGTGACCCGAAGCGCTATTAAACCAGTGTGATCCTAGGTGGCAGGTAATGTTTGCTCATGTTACCTTTATGTAGAGTATGCTGCCTGTTGTCATGTTCCAGTGGATGTAAAATATTATTATCGAGTTTCATAAGTATACTAGAGGCCCGGTGTATGAAATTCATGCATGGGGAGCAGGAGGGGAGGTCCCTCAGCCTGACCTGCACCCTCTCCAATCCGGGAGCCCTCAGGGGAGGTCCTTCTGACAGCTTAGGCCCACTCCCCGTGGTTCTCTGCTGTCTGGGGGGCCCGCTTTGCTGCTCCCGGGTCACCACCGGTGACAGCCAAGCAGGGTCTGCTCTCAGTGGCCACCAATGGAGCTGAGAAGACTGGATACCACCATCTTTGTGTTGGAGTGATGGTTAATTTGCATATTACTCTTTTACTAGATAAGATTACTTCTCCCACCCTGTGTTTTATAAAACTTAACCTACAACTGAGAACTGTAGGGTCCAGAACGCCTTGATTTCATTGCCTAATTTAATAGACAACTGGTAACACACCAATCTTGTTGCTACTTCTTCTAAAGTGCTTGTATATTTTTAATAATCTCCCAGTTTTCATGTGAGCACTCGCCTCTGTTCACAAGAACTTGAAGTACAATACGTAATGGCATAATTAGCTAGTGGTAGATGTCAGTCAACATTGAAAATTGCCACCTGGGCCACCCAACTCCTGCAGCGTCCACCCCATGTGAGAGCTCCTCTCTGCACCTGACAAATAGCAACAGGAGAGGCTGCAGGTGTGCAGGAAGCAGCTGGGGAGATGAGCTGGTGTCCCTGAGGCCTCAGGATGTGCGCTCACCTCCCATCCAGCGATGACTCCGCCACAGGTCATCGCCTGGCCTTAGACCCTCCAGGGGCCCCCAGAAGTGTTGCCATGGGCCAGTGTCCAAGCTGAAACAGCTGCCCTGCCCAACGGGTTCCCTCATTCAAGCAGCAAATGGGGAATGTGAGCAGTTTTGCAGCCTCGTCCCCCGGGTGGCAGAGCCGTTTAAAATGGTGCTGCGCGTCTGGCCTGTGCGCTTCTTCCTGAGATATGCCAGTACCTCAGGGTCCTCTCATGCAGGGGGGAAATCCTGCAGAGGCCGGTGTCAGCTCCTCTCTCCTCACTCTCCCAGATGGTCCGGACTGCATCCTGGAGCCGCTATCCCTGCCCGAGGGCGTGGGGTGCAGCGGCACCCCCGAAGGCTCGCCCTCTGTGCCCTGTATCTTCTGTGAAGAACACTTCCCCACAGCTCAGCAGGACCCGCTTCTGAAGCACATGATTATCGAGCACAAGCTCGTCATAGCCGATGTCAGGCTGGTCGCTGACTTCCAAAGGTAAGCGTTGGTGTCGTTCATAAACGAGCGAAGTTGATTATTCCCGGAGGAAGGCCTACTTCTGTGTCAGTCATCCCTATACAACATGCGCATCTGTAGTCTTTAGGCTTCCCCTGGACTTTAAGGGGCCTTAGCACTCTATCCCCTGGAGTGGGGAGGCTGCAGGGGTGGGGGTGGCGCACGCTGTGGCAGTCCTGCGGGTTCTGGAAGCGGACCGACCCACTGCCCCAGCAGAAGACTCCCTTTGCCCCTCCCCAGGCTGTTGGCTGTGGGCCTCCATCAAGCTGGCCTCATTTTATGTGTGGGCCACATGCTCACTCTCGCTGTGTCAGGCCTCCCAGGCAGGCGCCCAGGAGACACGTGCCAAGGGCCCAAAGGGCCGTGTTCGGAACAGGGATGCTTGACCCCCTTTACGCACAGAGGGCATTGTCCGAGGAGCCCTCACGGCGGAGCCCTTTGCCCTGAGGAAAGGCTCCGGTCACTGCACCCACGGTGGGTCCTGTTGGTGTGGAACTGGCACGAACGGCCATCACATGACACTATCGACTATGGAGCCCATGTTCTGTCTCCTGTCTCCCCCGAAGGAGACCGCATTCTCCTGGTCCCCGTCCCTGAGTGGGACTGCAGCTGCCAGTGTACGCCTGTTAGACACATGGGGAGATGGACACCGGGCTGCCTCTGTCCTCTCCCTCCCTCTTGCATCAGACATGCAGGTCTGGTGTTATGTTCTGCTTTAACTAGCATATCAACCTGTGTGCCTCTAACTCTGCCCATTAGATAGAAGAATTCAAAACTTGACCATCTTGCCCGGCCAGTTAGTGGTTGAGAGCCAACCTATTGCCCATGAGGTCATGGTTCGATTCCTGGTCAGGGTGCATGCCCAGGTTGCAGGCTCGATCCCCAGTGGGGGGCGTGCAGGAGACAGACAGACAATGATTCTCTGTCACTGATGTTTCTATCCCTCTCTCCATGTCCTTTCCTCTGTAAAATCAATAAATATATATTTAAAATATTTTTTAAAACTTGACCATTTTTCCAAAGGCCAAGTTCACCACACATTAGACACATAACGGAACTTTTTTGGAGATTTTTTTCTCTTGTTATAGAGACATTGGCTGACTTCTCATCCCATTATTATCATGACATCTGTTATTTTGATGTGTTAAGATAGACACCCAACTTTCCATTGATAAGAAAATGTGTACACTTTTAATTCATATAAATTAAGTGTGATTTCAGAAAAACTTCATTATCACATAAAATAATTGATTTTTAGCTTCCCATATAGCTGTTTATTGAATGAGGATAGTTGAGTTTAATCATTTCCATGCCTTTACGGGGTAATTTCACTTTATTAAATCCTTATTTTATACTTCCACGACTAGAGGCCCGGTGCACAAAAATTTGTGCACTCGGAGGTCCCTCAGCCCGGCCTGTGCCCTCTCACAGTCTGGGACCCCTCAGGGGATGACCACCTGCTGGCTTAGGCCCACTCCCTGAGGGATTGGCCCTAAGATGGCAATCATACATCCCTCTGGCAGCCCAGCAGCCCTCGGGGGATGCCCACTTGCCAGCAGCCTGGAGGAGGGGATGATGGCTGTATGCAACTGGTCACACCCCCTTCATTGTGGGGGTCCCCACTGGGGTGCCTGGCCAGTCTGGGTAAGGAGCTGAGGGCCGTTTTCAGGCTGGCAGGCAACTGAAGCTCCCAGCTTCTCCTTCTTTTCTGTTTTTTGTTTGTTTGTTTGTTTGTTTGTTTGTTTATTCTGGGATTTATTTACCTTCTATAGCTGTCACTGGAGCTGAGAGCCGGCTCCAGCTCTGAGGCTGTGGCTGGCTGAAAGCAGGTATCTGGATTTGTTTAGCTTCTATAATTGAAACTCTTGCCATCACTGGTGCTCCTAGCTCTGAGCCCACAGACAGCTGAAAGCAGGTTTCTGGGGTTTGTTTAGCTTCTATAATTGCAACATTGTTGCATCTGGAGCTCAGAACTGAGCTGCAGCAGGCGGGGAACCTTGGCTTCCTCCATCACTGGAGCAAGCAAGCCTCCTGTTTGCTTCAGCTTCCTGGCTGCCGGCTGCCATCTTGGTTGGCAGTTTATTTGCATATCCTGCTGATTAGCCAATGGGAGGGTAGCGAAGTTACAGTTAATTACCATGTTTCTCTATTATTAGACCGGATGTTCTGCCTTCCTATTTATAAATTGTCTAGCAGTGTTTAGTCAACATGGGCTTTGTGGCTTTGGAATAATTAAATGTTATATGAAATTCTGTCACTCTACAGAAAGGGCCGTATTGAGTCTCCTCACCACTTTTTGGCTTTGCCTGCCCAGGTACATCCTGTACTGGAGGAGGAGGTTCAGGGAGCAGCCCATCACCAACTTCTGCAGCGTGATCCGAATAAACTCCACTGCTCCGCTGGGTCAGTGAGCTTCAGGGCTGCCTCCTTTTCCCAGGACCAGAATTCAAAGGGGGAGTCCCACTTTCTCAAATCAGAATTCTCTCGCTTCCCCAAGAGCCAGACATGGATATGGATAATAGATATGGTTATGGATATAGATATAGATTAGATAATAGATATGGGTATGGACATGGATATGGATATAGATATGTCTATAGATTAGATATGGATATGTATAAGGATATAGATATAAATTAGATATGGATAAGGATATAGATATGGAAATAGATTAGATGTGGATAAAGATATAGACACATATTTTAAGGAGTAAGGCCTGGGGAAATGGTAAATATTGTCTCACTGATTCCTCTCCTCTCACAGAAGAGCAGGACAGCTACTTCCTGCTGTGTGACGTGCTGCCGGAGGACCGGGTGCTGAGGGAGGAGCTGCAGGCGCAGAGACTGGTGAGGCCTGTGCGAGGGACGCACAGTGGCTGGGAATACACACTAGTCACTGCTGTTGTTCTCTCATTGTTGCTGGTTTTACTTTAATTCCGGAAACTTTCAAACATGCACAAAAGAGGAGGCATTACATCCAGACCTTAGAACAGTGAAAGCGTGCCCGTGACGGAAGATTAAAGCCTTCCGTGCTAAAACGCAGGGGCAACTTGGGGCTCTGCTTTGCTTCCTGGATTACCTCTAAAATAACAGCAAAGCTTCCACATTTAGGTGTAATTTTAACCGCCTGGCACATGCTGGGGTTCAGCCATCGTGGAAAAATGCCGTCGGCTGACATGGAGTGGAACTGAACGCTCCCCCCACTGGAATGCGCTCTGCCCGACCCGGCTTTATCCTGGCCAGAGGCCTGTGCTTGATGCACACAGTGGCCTTTCTCCTTTCCAGCCTGAGCCGCGAGAACTAATTTTAATCCCTCAGCAGCTGTCATCTTTAAAAAGGGTAACAGTGTATTCGAGTGTTGAGTGTTCATTTTCCTAAGTCCAACAGAAAGTCATTTTAGGTTATTTTGTTTAAAAGTGCGGTTTTTCATTGCTGTTTGTGGTTACGCTCCATTATTACTTGGAATGGATCCGTCCTTCCTTCAGGGGCTACTTATTAGTGGTCCTTGGACCTTTGGACTCGGCCAGATGTGTTATGAGGGAACTGGGAGGTCACTGTTTCTGCTAAATCCTCAAGAGGGTGCGGAGGAAAATAAACCCCGTCGACCGTAATCACATGATCTGAGAAAGTCCCTGAGGCGCGTTATATATTGAGAATGTCCCCAATGATGATTTCTCCCGTAAGGAAGATGGTATTGTTGGATGTTGATTTATATGCAAGAAAATGCGCTTTTTCTGTAGCAGCAAACCCAATGAAGTAGCAGAACTCCTGTGGTTCTCTTTTCCTATTCTCACATCTTAACATCTGCAAAACAGGGATCAATTTGCTGTCATCTTCTATGGGTTTTGTTTGCTTATACTTATTCATAATTTTTCATTTCCATTAGGTTTGTCACTCTTGCCCACGGTGGCCTTAATTGAGAATGGCCAAGCGGTCATAATGCGGGTACCACAGGGTCTCTTTGTAAGAACTCAAACCCCACTGCTTCCGCCCTGTGTCACTGAGCACCCAGAGTCTTTACTGAATGTCTACAGATAGACTCGCGTCCCTAGAAATAGCTGTATCATTAATTGTAGATGACAATTAAATTCTGACCCAATTCCCACCTGGGGGTTTTCCCCACATCCAGCGGTTCCCCAACATCAGGAGGTGTCCTACATTCAACTCACTTTGGACACTTGTCTTCCCAAGAGCATAGGGACCTCAGGTTAAGGGCTCAGCCCCTACTTCAGATGCCAACCACAAGCCCGGGCCCCCTGCTCTGACCCACCGGCTGTAGAACGAGGTACCCCTTGGGTTCAGTGACTGCTAGAGCAGCGCGCAGAGCCCCGGAAGCCTGTTGGCTGGCTGGGTACGCGTGTGTCGCACAGATAAGAGACAGCGATTGAGCTCAGTTGGTGGGAGCAGCACGGGAAGGCCCAAGCAGGAGCCTCTGCCCGTGGATCCGGCTGGAGGACAGCACGTGGACACATTGTGGTCCATCAGCCCAGAAGCCCGCCCCTGTCCTGTGGGTCGGTGTGGAGGCTCAGGCCTGCGGGACCAAACCATCGGCCGTGGGTGACAGAGCTCAGCCTCCAGCCGCTCGCCCTGCAGGGAGGTGGGGAGGGGTGGGGCCTCACAGTTCCGACCCTCTGAGTGCATTGACTCCATGTCCCAGTCCCTGGGTGCCCTCAGAGTCGCTCCCGTGCACATCAGTGCAGCCTCGACCCTCAGGAAATGCCAGGGACCTCAGGAGCTGTGTGTCAGGACAGAGGCAAGACCAAACAAACACTTCTCACTACAAATCACATCACACCTGTCACCAACCTCAGTCCCACAGACAGATGGAGGTGATGAAAGTGAGCCTGATGGCAGCTTACAGAAGCAACTTGCACAGAACTGCAGGCAGCTCACAGAGTCACTGAATTCCTGCCTAACCAGGTGATCGCACCCAGAAGTTGAAGACGGGCATGTTGTAAAAGCGGCGGCCTGAAGCAGAAGGACTATTGCATGTGCTCCGGAGACGATGGTAGAGTGACTTGTAGCACTTGTGAAGACGAGAGCAGGCACGTGTCACACTAGGACAGCCTCTGTCCTATGGAACGCGCTCGGCAATCGTTGTCAATCACACAACTACCAATAACACCGCATCTCACCAGTGAGAGGCGTGGGGAGCAGGAGAGCTGTGGAAAGGGAGGGAGGGTGCATACGGACCTAAGTGAACAAGAGAAAACCCTGGTGTCCTAAATGACATTACAGTGGCAGAGAGTGAGGGCAAGAGGCGGGCGTGGTTAGCCAGTTAGCAGCTGTGGGCCCCTAACAAGTTGCTCCCAGTCTTTAATGTATGTCAAAGCCGTGACTCAACCTCCACCTCCCGCGGCTGAGCGGCCACCAGGACCCCTGCCCCGGCCCCTGTGGGAGCTCTCAGGCCTGTAGCCGGTGACCAGTCAGAACGGTGAAGAGCTCTTCCATGTAGACGGTGCACCTGCCCTAGACCTGGCCCACGTGCGGGTGTGAACCTGCCTGGCAGACCAGTGAGCGTTCTTGACACTGTGATGGGAGGTGGCAGCCTTGGCTTCGCCTGTGGCAGAGCAGGCTGTTCCGTGGGCTCTGCCGTTCCAGAAGTCAGCTCCTGTTCCTCTGTACAGACACTGACGTGCTCTAGTTGCTTTCTCCTGATTGGCTGGTTTCTGCCATTCCCCCCCTGGCGCACATGCTTGTTCCTGTCCCGTGTGCGACCCCGCGCCTGTGCCGAGAGCCACCTGCGCTGTCTGCAGCTTCATTCGCGCTGCCCTGCCTGCAGCGCAGGAGGCAGGATGGACGAGCGCTGTCCCCACCCTCTGCTGCCCAGTGTGACATTTTAAACCCATCAGACAGCGCACAGCCTGTGAGGACGACCCTCCGCCTCATCCACAGGCTGGTCTTGTGTTCTTACAGCGGTGGCTTCTACCCAGCCTGCTTTGCCATGACAATTTATCTGGTTTCATCAGCTGCTTGGAGAAGTTCAACTGCGTAACATCTGAGGCACTCTTCAGTATAAGTATTTCTCTCTTTGGAGCGTGACCAGCACGGCTAGAGAGCCATCCAACAAGTCCGTGAATAAAGTCTATTGCGTGCACCAGCATGGCTTGCTACCATGAAGACCTCGCCTCCCGGGTCTAAAACGGGGCTTTTCTGTGCGCTGTGTGGCCTGATGGCGCAAGGTCCCGTTCTGCAGGTTGGAGCTCCAGCATCCTCCACGGCTGCGACTTCTCTGCCGGCCTCCCAAGTCCGGTCTGCACAGGTCCAGCTCAGGATCTGCACAAACATCCAAGCATCCAGTGGTGTCTTTGAGCTCCTCTGCAGCTCCCTCCTTCCTGGTACCTTGTCCCACAGATTCCACTCACTTGAATGTCTTTTTTTTTAATGTGTATTTTTTTAATTGATTTCAGAGAGAAAGGGAGAGAGAGAGGGAGAGACATCATCGGCTGCCTCCTGCACACTCCCCACTGGGGATCGAGCCCACAGCCAGGCATGCACCCTGACAGGGAATTGAACTGCGACCTCCTGGTTCATAGGTCGATGCTCAACCACTGAGTCACGCCAGCTGGACTCACTTGAGTATCTTAAATTCCTGTCTCTTTTTTCTCTACCAAGCAAGGCAGCTGTAGTTCGATTGGGTTTAATTTTTCTGTGTTGCAAGTTGAAAAACACCACCCAACAGAGAATGATGTATTTCTCTTAAGGGCCCAGCCCTGTGCTGTCTGTTACCCGATGTCAGGAAACAGATGAGATATCTGCAGCGTCTGTGTAGTTCGCAGGGGAGTGTGATGTCCTTTCTCCCATGCTGCGGAGTCGAAG